GCACGGAGCTGCGCATCGGGGCACCCACAGACAGACGGCCACCAAGGGGACTCTCCATGCTGTCGCCCCGCCTGCCTTGCTGACAATAAATTTTGGAGAAAACACAGGAAAAGGAGTTTGCTTGTCGTGCTTTGGCTGTCTGGCGAGGAGGGGGTTCGGCAGCGGTGCCAAATGGGACTGGGGGGGTTCAGCTGCAAGAGTGACCAATCCTGCCCCGAATATCCCCGGCTCTTCGCAGGGGAGGAACGTTCCCGAAATCCCTTTGGCGTCCCCGAGTCAATCGCGGGGTTGGTCCTGCCCCTCTCCTCTGGGTGAAGTTCACCGAGAGGATGATGAGGGAGGACCGATCGCTGGCAGGTCCAATCTTCTCTAGAATGACGCAAGTGTGTTTCCCAAAGCTCAGAAACAAGAAAAGCAGACGCGTCTCCTGAAAGATTACAGAGGGCAAAAGGACACATTTGCGCTTCCTGTGGGCGTTAATTAGTGACCGATAAACTGTGCCTTCCACCTCCTGGGGATCCTCACGGCTGTGGGCACTGAAACAGCCCAGAGAGGGGAGAGAAGAGCCTTAATGAGCCTTCCTCACTACCAGCCTTACGTGAGCAAGCCCCTTCCCCACATTTCCCGGTGAAACACACTGACCTGGTGTCCGCTTGTTCCCCCTCAGCCACAGTTCCTGCAGGACAGCGGGACCATCAATCCAAAGGGGGATTTTCAGGACTTCCCCCCGCAGCCCAGCCCCTGCCCGGCTCTATACCAGCCATCCCAGCGCTGGGGGTGTGTCAGGGTGAAAGACACAAAATTTGGCACATGCTTGAATTCTGGAAAGGTCACAAAGGGACAAGGAGGCCAGGAGCCTGAGCACCAGGGAACCCTGAGGCTTTCCATCCACCCAGTAACATATCTGTGAATCCCTTCATGCCTTTTCCCCTTGTCCTTCGAGGAAGAACTCCAGCCCCTTTACAGGGGGAATACTCAAGCCCCTCTGCAAGGCTGGCAGCTGCTGACACAACCAGCACACTCAGATTCTTTTCAGGCTCTTTGATTCCTGGTGACTTCTCCCCTGCGCTGAGCTTCACCTTTAACAAAATCCCCCTGAGGGCGCCCGACAGCAAGAAAAAAAACATCTTCCCCCAATTCTAACCCCTTCCTTCCCTCCTGTTCCCAGAACCCAAACGGGGGCTGTACGGTCACCTCTTCCCCCGAGCTACTGCAGCTCAACGAGATCAAACCTGTCACTGAGGAGAGTTCCCTCCAGGGCCACCAAGGGGAAGGGCGAGACAGAGAAGGGGAGCTCTGCAAAACACTCCTCAGAAAAATCACAAGGTATTCTCAGGTTCTGCAAATTGACAGAGATCAGTGGCAACCATGTCCCCTTCCAGGGAAAACCCACTGCACGTTCCACAAACACCCCCACAATTGTGCATTTCTGCAGGTTTGTGACACAGGAGGACAATCAGTACAGGGGAAACGTGTGCGAGAGGGGGAGACTGCGATAACGCAGCAATGGTTAATTTCCTTCCCTCTCTCCCCCATTTCCTTATTAGCGCTAAATATCTGTAACACAATTCATCAGGGCACTCCCCTTGGCAGCTGCTGGTTGTTAACTAAACACATTCACACGAGATAAACACACTTCAGTGCTGTCTGTGCCATAAACTTCTACAGCCATCACACTCTTGCTTTGCTTCCCAGATCCACCTGTCTCCTGGGCAGAGGGGGAAACCTGAAAGAAAACACGCGGTTTGCTCCCGAGAACCGTAACAGCCACTAAGAAGGGTCTGCATTCTTCGTTAAGAAACTCAACTCTATTATCAAAAGTTATTAATCTGCAGATCGATAACAGAAACACTCCTAAATTGGCTTGGAAACCTGAAGTTCGCGTTACACTTTGTCCTGGAGCAATGAGAGTGCCGGGGGCGATCATTTCTGTAACCCAGAGATCTTTCTGCTGCCAATAAACAGATTTTGGTGCAGAATGGAGGACAGCCACGAGGTTGCCAGTGTTTACGGTCACTGTGAGACTTTTCTGGATCGGAATTAGTGACTGAAGCAGAAAGGCTCTCGTTATTCATCCTCCAAAGTATCCAGTATCGTGTAAAAACTAATTCTTGAATCCAAACACTCTCCAACAAAAATAGTTCAGCAAACAGCACAAAAGTGGCATGAGGGCAACCATGACACACACTTTCCGAGCTCTGAGGCCCATTCTCTGTTATTAATCTTTAGTTCAGTTAATTACTCTGATTTAGAGAGCAGCCCATCAAACAGAGAAAAGCTGATTTCAATTTTCAAATCAGTGCACTCCAAAAGATGTAGTCAGCATCTGCCTTAAGATTTAGACACCCACTGCCAACATAACAGATACAATTATATTTTAAAGTAGAAGTATATTCCTGATAAAAATGTGAGAGTTTTACAGTCAAGGTTTCATCTTCTTATTACCTAAAAATCCAGCTCCTACAACACATAGCGCAGTTAGGAAGACCAGACGCTGCTCACACAAACTTCTTTGTTCCTGTGCAGGAATTCATTCACAATTTTAATCCATAGCCTCCCTTAGCCCCTTCCTTCTCCAGCCCTGTTACCAGAGCCCTCCCACCTCCTCAACCCCCCCTACAGCCTTTCTTTCTCCCCTCACCACCACTCCCTTCGTCACCAGGAGCAACAATCCCTGCTCCCCCACAGCACAAATAACAGCCCCCCTCAGCCTCCAGCTCCCAGGGAACCCGGAAGGACAGCAACAGCTTGGGCACATTTATCTAAAAGGCGACGACGGGCACGGCCGAGCACAGGAGGAGGAGAAGGGAGAGGAGAGCACAGCACGCACCCCAGCCCGCCTCATCCTGTCAGACCGCAGCCAAGATGGCGCCGGCGGAACAACCCCTTCCCGCCTTCCGGCACGCCGCCGCCCTGCACATGCGCGGAGCAACTCCGCCCAGGAGCGGCGCGTCCTCCCCCTGCGCAGTGCGCATGCGCGCTCCGCTTCCCGCTCTCCTGGGAGGTAACGGCGG